CCCCTCCCTATCTCTGTCACCTCCTCCAGGCCCCTACACCCCCTCCCCTATCTCTGTCACCTCCTCCAGGCCCCTATACCCTCTCCCTATCTCTGTCACCCCCTCCCAACCCCCTACACCCCCTCCCTATCTCTGTCACCTCCTACAGACCCAGTTCCCAGGTAGAAAGAATATCATCGGCCTAGGGTTTGGGCTGAAGACAGTACCATCTGATTCGGGCTGGGGTCCACACAACTCCCCTTAGGAGGTGCGTAACTGTTGGCACCAACCAGGTGCAAGATGGCTCTCGCCCCGACAACCACAACCCTCCATTAGCATCCAATTTCCAAACGGCCCTCCCTGTTGACAGAGAGTGGTTCATGGGTGTGGGTCCATCACTACCTGTCCATGGCTTCTCCCTGGCACAAATGGGCACTGTGTCTTGGAGGGGTGCTGTGGGTGAGTGGTGCTCATCATCCATCCGAAGTCAGGGTAACTGATGTTGGGGAGGCATGGTGTGGGATCTGCTCCCATCACCTGCTCAGCCTAGCTGAGGCCTTCTATGAGGGGAGTTGTTAACTGAGGCCTAGTTCAGGCTTCCCCTGAGGGGCATCGTCAAGTGAGGCCTAGCTCAGGCTTCTTCTCGGGGCGTCGTCAAGCAGGTCCTAGCTCAGACCTCCTCCAAGGGGCATCGTCAAGCGAGGCCTAGCTCAGGTTTCCTCGAGTTGGGCGTAGTCTAGCGAGACCTAACTCTGGCCTCCTCTGGGGCAGGTGTCGTCACGCGAGGCCTCGCACAGGCCTCCACTGGCGGGAGTTTGGGGTGTGGGTGGGGGGGCCTCGCCGAGCGAGGCCTACTCGCATCCAGACACGTCGTCCACCCACTCTCACGCCCCCTCAGGCACATCGACGCCCACCCCCCGCCTCCCAATTTCTTGACAGACCCCACCCCACACGCCCCACTCTGGCAACTTATCCATCCGGCAAACGGACACTGTGGGGTCGCCAAGAACCCGGGGGCGGGTGTGGGGGGGGGGTGGGGGGGGGGGGGGGGGGGTGGGGAAGGCCCACTTACCTACTTAGCTACTTACCTGAGACATGGCTGTCTTCGTTTTGCCCGATGGACGGGAGAGGGGAAGGTGATAAAGGAAGAGCTTTTCCGAGAGAGAGAGAGAGACAAACAAAACAAAAACCACCCTTGACCCTCAATCCGACAGGATTGGAGTCCAATTCCAGAGTCCACCCAACATATTTTTAACCCTCCCTTCCCGGGCGCCTCGTCGTCACTGTTGGAGGGT